TTTAAGAGAAATATACTCCTATTGCTTGTATATTTTAAAGGTTATTTAACCAGAAACCAGACATGAACTGGGAACCAAAACCAACTTCACTGTCTTCAGTGAGAAGAGAACTCAAATGATGGACTTTTCTCCCCTACAAGCCCAAGGCATAAATGTGTAATGTTTATTAGAAATGTTCTCTTTTATGCAGTCCTGGGAGCTTTCCAGTTGTTCATTATCTTTGATATTGACAATACTCTTTGTCACTCAGAATATATTAAATTTTCAACAACTCAGGAGCAACTTTCAGATTTTCCTCATCTTCTCATAAAAATTATAAAAAGAAAAGCCTTTATTTTAATAGAGCCTTTTCAAACACTCCCAAACTTATCCATGAGAGAACACACACATTTCCTCTTGCCAGAATGCATCCCAAAACATCATAGAGAAACTTTATTTTTGCAATAAAGCAGCTTGTATGCAGGATCTAGACAAGTAGACAAACTTCTTTTTTTCAGTCTCCTCAAAGAAAGATTCTCTATATATTTTACCTGCCTCAGCCAAGCTTGTTTTTCCTTCTGAAGAAGTGCTGAGAGCTGCTTCTGGGATTGGAAGGCACTGCTACTTTGTGGAGACCTGGGGGAACAGATAATCCTCTGGCAAAAGGAATTGGCTTTGATGGCCATTTTCCCCAATTCTATGATTTATTTGTCTTCAGGCATCCCCCAGTCCTCGACTCAAGAAATCTCAGAAAACAATCCACAGTCAACCAAAACAACTCAGAAAACCAACGCGTGTCCATCATGCCACTAAAAATTATTCCCATTCCGGGAACAAATTTGTTTGAGAAACTGATACCAGGAAAGAACTGTTTTCAATCAAGAGTTGTGATGGTTGAGTGTTTCCAGGCCAGAGCAGCCCCTTCAGCTTCCAACAAGGAGATACTACATTGCTCACAGGTATCAAAACCAGCCAAATTCCCAATCTTGATATAAATGATTGCAAATCAAATAAAAACATTCATCAGTTTTGAAAGAGAAATCACTGAAAAATGTTAAAATAAATTACTTAACCAGCCTTGCTGCTTAGGCTCCAAAAGGTTTTGTATCACCTATTTTTTATTAGCCAGAAAGCAGAGAAGAAAAAAACTGCTAAGAAGGATATTCAGCAAAAAAAGGTGAAACACAGAGCCAGTCTTTGTGTATTGGATTTGCAAAGAGGGGATGCCTTGAATAAAAATCACAACTGACAGCAGGAAGTGGCAGCATTTTGTTTCTCATTGAGCTCTCTCCCCTGTCCCACTTGTGCCATATAATTTCAGAGATTTACAACACAATCCATAAAGCTGTAGTGGAGTGAATGCTGGAGCATTTATGAGCATCTCCAAAGCCAAAGGTGAAGAGTTTCACGCTTCCTGGGAGGGAAAAGCAGTATTTCAGAGCTCCAACACAGTGTGGACTCCACAATGTGCCAGCTAAGAGCTGATGAGAGCTTTGCCACCTCGGCAAGCACCAGGAATTCCAGATTCTAAGCATTTGCCAGATGCATATTAAGGGGTTTGCAATGAATGGCTACCAAATAAATAGCCACAGGGCTCTGAGCTTTTCTTCTTGTCTCAGCTTTGCATACACCTGCCAGAACAGCTTCCCAGGGAAAGCAATCATTTAAACTCACCTCTAATTTAATCTGGCCCTCCAGGGACAGGAGATAACTGGTTCTAATCAAGTAATACTAATATATTTGAATTTAGTAACATCAGTCAACATTATAAACATATGGCACATACAAACTGAAACCATGTTTAGCCTCAGTTCTCCCAACCAGAACCACAGTTCTCTTCAGAACTACATCATGAATGAAGTCAAAAAGGATTTGTCTCATGTTCTTGACTTTAGGATCTTGTCTTTTTAGCTATCATGTACCACAGTGTTTCCACATACAAAATATAATGGAGGAAAACCAGGGTGATGGATTTCAGGCCAAATGATGCTCAGTCTCTCCATCAGTATTGGGGAAAGAACAGGAGCCACTCGATGATCGTGGAACTCATTTGCCCCTGCTATGCCCCAAACTTTATCTCTTTACAAAATGCACCAGGATCCTGAATTCAAATCTTCAGTAGAACAGTACAGAGCAGCAGAATAGCTTTTGTCAGCTCCAGCTACTGACCTACCCTGGCAATGACCTTTGTAGCTATTGCTGCTTCAGTGACCATACTCAGCTCTCCATGAAACTGGGAAAGACCCATCATTCAAATACTCATAAAGAAGTCAAATTCCACTAAGGCTGATATTTCTGCCAAGGGGTGTCTCTGCCCAAATGTCCTTTAATGCTTTCTCAAAAGTAATGACAGATGGGAAGATTTGTGCTTTACCATTCCTGCATAATATGTCTGTTGTCACCCTCTTACACAGAACAAAGTATTCTCTTTTAAAACAGGTAAATCAAAGCACTCAGAAGAAAGATGGTTTGCAGTTGGATATACAAATTAGAAACTGAATCCAAAATAAAACCCTGGCTGCCTCATTTCCAATTAAATATTCCAGTTTAGAAAAGGGATTTGGAAGCCTTTTTGTGGTGTTTTGTAACATGTGTGTTCAATTGAATCTTGGATCCTTTCAAAATTTGTATAAAGAGGGAATGCATGGACCTACAAGTGGCTCCCCTCTTCCACATCTGCCCAAGACAGGAGAGTTATGGTGAGTGGGAGCAGCAGCAGAATGGATTGAAGTCCTGTGTAACACAATGGGGGTGTTAGCAGGGTGGCTTTTTGGGGCAGAGAAGCAGAGTCTGGCCTGTCCTAGTCTCTGTTCCAACTTTGACAAAAACATGTTTCTCATCACAGGAAGCCAGAGAAGAATTTGCCCCTGGGAATGACAGAAGCTCCAGCTGGAAGAGGGCTCAGACAGGATTAGAGGCAGAACAAAAAGGTCAGGCTTTCATCTGTGTGCAGTGGCACTTTCTGGTCTGAAGTATAAAAAGCAATTTTGCTATGGAAGGTTTCTGGAATGTCCATGACAAAAATTGACTGAATCCTCTGGTCTGCTATGGAGGTGCCCTCTGTGCTTCAAACAAATTGTACTTGCATATTTCTGGCAATATCTCAGCTCACCAGTCCCACACACGACAGACCCAGTGGTTTTCTCCTGAGCACAGCACACAGGCAGTCAGGCACCCACAAGACAACTGCTTGTCTGCAGAGCTCTAATTCTGACCTCCTCCTCCTCATGATTCCCTCCTCCTCCTCTATGAAAATTCAGGTTTATGAGACACCTGTATTCATATTCCACTCCTGCACTGCTTTGATTACTTCATCTCCCAAAATCTTCACACTCTTGTGGGTCTGTTTTGGAGAAAAACTATTAGCCAGCCCCAGTGCAAACCAGAGGCAATAACAAAGCATCAAGCAACAAGTGTATCAGAGCTGAGGAAGGAGACAAACTGCATCAACAAGCAATTGTGCTTTCTTTTTCTTTAAAATCAAATGTCAGGTCAGCAAGGCTTTTCTAATGGTTCCTAATCAAGCAGAAATCCTGCAGCCACTTTGGATCAGCAAAAGAAGCCAAGATGGGATAGTGTGTGTCAGTTGGGTTTGTCCTAATGACCTTTTTAAGAGGTGCAAGATTAGCTTTCTTTTGTTTCCTTGGACATCAAGAAGCTTTCACAGCCTTTATGCAAGGAGTAGATACATAAGGCATTTAATCCTTTATTTCATCTTATTTCTGCCCGTTATCATAATCAGAAATTTTGCAGGAAGATGCAAGAATCCACACATTAGGCAATTACAGAGCAGCTGGCCTGAGAAGAAACAACTTATCCTGAAGGATCTAGAACTGAGCTTTGCAGACCTTTTGCAAAAGGCTGCACCTTTGCTGAAATGGTTTTATTTGGAGATCAAACTGCTATAATAAAATTATGAACTGTTAAAAGATATAAAAGAGGAGAGGAGAGGAAGTTGCCATCTCAGCCAGCTGAGACAGGACTAATACTCTGAATCTCTAAAAATTTAAGATTACTCTAAAATCTACTCTTTATGCAACTCTAAGATGTTTTAATTGCCCATAGATTTTCCTCTCTAAATCCTATTAGTAAACTGGCCTCCCTAACACTGGAGTTAGATCACATTGCCTGTAAAAACAACCACCCTGTGTCAATTTTACATAGACTCTTACCATTACTTAATGTCCTTTCACTTACCCACTGTGAATAAACAGAGGAGTGAGCTTTTACTTACACATTCTGCAGATTTCATTTCATCCCACCCTCAGATACTGCATTTCTAAAAGAACAGCAGTGGATTTTACAACATTAATAGTGCAGAGACCCCAGTGTCCAGAGAGAAGAGGATTTGATGCTTAACTAATTAATTTGCTAAAATACTGTCAAAATTAAGAATTTATGCAATCATAGAGTTACCCTCTACAGCTTCTGGGGTTGTAGTAGGACTTGTAGCAGCCAGGGCTATCTTCCAGAGAGTTACCTTCCTTGAACTTCTATAAACTCACCCATTTTGAACAGCCTTTTCACATTCTGGATCTCTAATGCTCCCATGTTATTTGAGTGCCAGAACTAGTCACCAAGAGGGCTCCAATCCAATAGGCAATAATTGCTGGAAATTCTCCTCATTTCCTAGCCCTCTCCTACACCCCTTCAAGACAGAACTGAGGGAAGTCTCTCTTGCTGTCTCCAACCTTTCCTAGCTGAAACCTGTTCCAATTTCACCCTGTAAACACCTGATATGAACAGATGAACTGGGAGGGGCCAGCAAGCTCTTCATAACTTCAGAGGGGTGGAGGTAAACAGAAAAATAGTATATAAGATGCTTTGAGACAGACTTCCAAACTGCATAGACTCCGACAGGAGGGGTCTGAAAAAAAGCCACTTCTTCAGGCTCCACCTTCAGAGACTCACTTCATTGGAAGCAAGGAAGGTACCAGGCTGCTGCTGGAAATTTCATACCTATCCCAGCTGCATTTGGACTACTGCAGTCAGCTGGAAGGTTTCTGTTGCTGTAAGCAAAAATGCCAGCAAGAGCCACGGTTCAGCTGGCATGGCTCTGCATTGTCACTGTGTCTGTGGCGATCTACCCGGCTCTGCTGCAGAAACCTCCCAAGAGGAGAATGATCAATGGCAATGCACAGCCCAAGATGCCAGGCTGCTGCGAGGAGATCAAGGAGCTCAAGCTGCAGGTAGCCAACCTGAGCAGAATGCTGCAGGAGCTGAGCAAGAAGCAGGAAGGGGACTGGGTGAACGTGGTGATGCAGGTGATGGAGCTGGAAGGGAGCACCAAGCAGATGGAGTCCCGCCTCATCGACGCTGAGAGCAAATACTCCGAAATGAACAACCAGATAGACATCATGCAACTGCAGGCAGCTCAGACCGTCACACAAACATCAGCTGGTAAGGAGGGAGTCCCCAGGCTCCCAGATACAGCTCTCAATGCACAACTAATACTAGTTCCTAGTGCTAATGCAGGTAACAAGCATGCACACTCAGTACTGCTGCTTAGGCACTGACCCTGAGAAAACCAGTTTGAATTCCTTCGTCTGTATTTTTATATCTATGTCTGTTTTTAGGGAGTGCAGAAACTGAACAGGTACTTCATTTCTACAGTGAGGAATTCAGTCTAATATTTCATTTTCTGAGCACTACAGCACCAATCCTAAAAGGATGGGAGCTCCTTGGTAAGGGAAGGGCTTTGGCAGTAATAACCTTTGAATTCACAGTGCTGACAGGAGACTAGAAATTGTTAAAGCATTTAGAAATGCTCTCCAGGATTTACTAAAGATTTGTAATTGTGTCTTTATGACTATCTCTAAACCAGAGTAAAAAAGAGTGATCCATTATTTTTTGAGTGGTAATTCTTAAAAATCCAAGGCTGTAGATGATGCAAGATAACAAACTGTGATATACACCTAGCCAGACCACAGTTAAATTCTTCAAAATTCTCTTCCCTGAGGGAAAATTTCACTGCACACAGTGATTGCACAGGCCTGTACTAAATGTGGAATGCAGGTGCATTTTTAGGTCAGCTACCTGTAAAGGCACTTCTAGAAGAAAGCATCCTCTTTGTTGTTGACTTTTCTCTTCAAATGAAATTCACTGCAAAGAGCTTAAATTGTCTCAGTCTCAACCGGGTTTGCTGAAGGACTTCATTTGGATTATTTTTTTAACATTAAGGAAAAACTTCTCAATTTATTTACTTTATTCTTCCTCTAAAATAGTTCCACCTGGTTAGTTTTCACACATCACTATTTACAGTAGGCCCTAAGAAAAAGTTACACCATAACAAGTCTCTTGGAAGCTGGAGAAAAAGCAGTTACACATAGGAGAATTGGCCCAGAAGGTATTTAAGACAGATGTGTCTCACCTCACCAGGTAAGAGACATTTTTGAAAACTGTCAGACATTATAAAGCCTTGCTTCAGCTCATTTATCCTTCTCAGAATGTCTGTGCATTTTACCATCTTCAAGTCAGTTCCTGAACCGAGAGGAAAAGAGGCTTTCACTGTCTGACTGCAGCTAAAAGGCACCTTTGTCTGTCACAGATGCCAGTGCAGAAAGGGCTGAACAAATATCCCTCACCCACAAACTTGGCCAACCTGTTCACACACTCAAAACAGACACCTGGCCTGACAGCAGGCCTGGCCATCCCACTGCATGAGTCTTTATTACTTAGGAGGGGGCCAGCAAATGTACTTTCCACTCAGTGGCAATGTGATGAGAAAGCAGAGATGTCTTTTTGTGTAGGAGAGGTTAAAAAAAATTTAAAAAAATTAATTTAAAAATCACAAAATCCCCAGTGTTACAACACCTTTTGTCAATGAATGCACTACTCAAAACTAAGAAAATGTTAGATTTGTGAAAAGCCTTCTTCATTACTCCTTGTATTACAAACTAAACTTTGCAGAAAGCACCTTCACAGAAGAGGAGTTTTTGCTGCTCAGGTTCTCACTTTCTGGTTCTGATTCAAGTAGATGCTGTTTATGACTGCTCATCACTTTACCAGAGGAACTACCGAATTTCTGGTGTTTACAAGCTACCTCCTGATGAATTTTTGGGAATTCCAGATCTGGAGGTAAGGATATTCAGCACACAATGTATATTACATATCTTATAAAATATAATCAAGAAATACTTCTCTACAGAGATGAAAAGAGCACACACTAAGTTTTGGTACCTAACATTTGCCACCAACATCTTTACATAAGCAAACTTCAAGGATGGAAAGAGTGTACATTTAAGAGAGAAAATAGAAAAAGGGTTTATCTAATCATTTTTTGCCATAGAAATTTCTTCAGGTTGTGAAATCTGGAACAATGTCGTGTGTTAAGAGAACTGAACCTTCCTAAGTCTACTGACAAGTAACCACTGCCTTTTTTTCCTGTTCCAGGTGTTCTGTGACATGGAGACAGATGGAGGGGGCTGGACTGTCATCCAAAGACGTAAAGTTGGTTTGACATCATTCAATAGAGACTGGAAACAATACAGGGAAGGATTTGGCAATATTAGGGGAGATTTTTGGCTGGGAAATGAAAATATCTACCGACTTTCAAAACGCCCCACTGTTCTGCGAGTAGAGTTGGAGGTAATTAATAACCTCTTAATTTCAGCAGCAAATTTTTTGATTCTCCAGTACCAGATAACATCTCCTATCTCTGTAGGAGGTCCAAAGAATTTGCATGCTTTAATTACAGGAGAAGGAAGTAGGATCAACCTGAGAATACATTCAAACACAAGACAGAAGCATGTTCTCCCCTGTGCAAAGTCAGTGGCACAACCTTGTGTCTGCACACACACTGTGTCTTCAGAACACGTGGAGTTCTTGGAAATCCTGCAGAAGCCACTGTAGACAAAGATCAAAGTGCTGATCATTTCAGATTTAAAATTTAAAAAAGAGATGTCCCATAAAGTTTGCAAGCCTCTGAGGCTTCTCATTTTGCAGCACTTCCTTCCAGCCTGGGTACAAGAGTTTGCACTGGATTACCCTCAGCTTCTTCAGTCTGTTAAAGGTTTGGGTTTGACTTAGACAAGTTTATAGTTGGTACAATAACTCTAAGGGGTGGGATTTGTATAAACTGAAAGGCTTAATATCTAAAAATCACTGTTTCAGAGAGGAAAAAAGTTACTTGAGGCAGCACACTGACACAAGGATATTGAATATAAGAGCTGCACATGAGGTTTCCTACATATTGTACAACAGCAGTGCAGAGAAGACTTGGAAGTTTCATGCTTTGCTCTGGAAAGTTCCTTTGCCTTAACAGAGCATTTTCACAGTCTGAGACAGTAAAAATATATGTATATAATCACAGATGTAATCATAACCATTCTAATAGAACTGATTTCTTCTCCCCTGCTCTGTGCAGGACTGGGAAGGTAACACTCGCTATGCCCAGTACCGGCAATTCACCCTGAGCAATGAAATAAACAGCTACCGGCTGTTTGTGGGGAATTACACCGGCAACACCGCGCGGGATTCCCTGCGCTACCACAACAACACGGCCTTCAGCACAAAGGACAAGGACAACGACAAGTGTGTGGATGACTGTGCCCAGTTCCGTAAAGGTAAAACACACAAATTCCTTCCTGTCCCCAGGGAGCTGCTGGGGTCAGTTGTAGAGAGCCCAACACTTCTTCTTTCCATGCAGTTAGTAACATCTGAATGGCAAATCAAGAGAGAGGTGACCAATTCTGGAAAATACACTTGTGTAACACTTGTGTAACAGCCAGGGAAATCTGGCTGTTAAAGGTGATTTGAAAAGAGCCAGATTGTGCAGATATCAGTACTCTGAAATAACTGTATGCTCTCACCTACAGTTACCCAGCTCATTATAATATCTGCCAGACTATCTCACATGCTGATACAATACAGTGATACAGGAAGTTACTCCTTAATATCAGGTTCTTACTTTTTCTTATATTTTTATAAGTTTTCAAGTCCTAGTATTAGGCACCTGAAATTCTTCTCTTGTATTCACCTCCACATTCAGCTTGACTTGTGATCGTTACTCCTACCTATCACAAGCCTCTAATGAGGTTATTCTCTTCATTTAATTTAGTATTTTTATTTGAGTTCTGTCAAAGATAATTATCTTCATTACATTTTGCTCTTTAATTTCCCCATTGTGTCCCATACAACATGCAAATAAAACTGTTGATCTCAGTTTCAACAAATACTCACAGAGTTCAGGAACTTTTTAAACACCTTAAGATGCTCTAGTGAATTACCCAGATTAATTTCCTATGCTAATTCACTGAGTCAGAGTCAAAAACATGCCAAGGAAATATTCCAAGAGGAATCAGCAATTAAATGAAAAGCTACTGGACTAATTTGACTAAAGAGCTGTAATGCCTTTAAGTTCCTAAATATATATGTTAATTTTTAAATTTACCTGCAACCTCAACCATCAGAAGCTCCATAGGCTCCAGGGATTAAATGCTGCATTCTGCCCACTGTCATCCAGAAAAAGTAGTAATCATTAATACAAATGACTCACCAGGAATCTATGAATTTGTTTCCTGACAAGGTGGATATTGGTACAACTGCTGCACAGATTCCAACCTGAATGGGGTTTACTACCGCAAAGGAGAGCACACCAAGAACATGGATGGCATCACCTGGTACGGCTGGCACGGATCCACCTATTCGCTCAAGAGAGTGGAGATGAAGATCCGCCCAGAGGATTTCAAACCATAGAAGGAATCAACATTTGATTGTACAGCTACATCATGTCACCATGCAAAAGGTGGGCAATGAGCAGCCAAGTACTTTTTCATTTCATCCAATACATGCAACAGCTATATACTGGTGGTGTACACAAACACTGCCATGTCAGTCACAGCCACCAGTATTATCAGGGCTCAGGCTTATTTCCTCCTCTTCAGGCTCTTTCCAAAGGGAAAAATATTGTGTTAGAGTAGGTTAGAATTGAATGCACTTACAGCACCTTCAGAAAACCTATGGGTGTGATTTCACTAGCAGTGTGATTAGTGGGTTGCCTTAGTATTATTAACCAGATAGGCAGGGACTGAGAAGCAAAAGCCTCTTGGCTTCCTTTGCTTCAGCACCTGGAGCAAGCCCTGCTGAGCAACTCCTTCCAAGAAATACTCAAACCACAAAAGTTATAGACTCATTTCAAACCAGAAGAATCAATCAGAAGTGTCCCTGATGCACCTTTCTTTAGTGTGTAGTAACTGGCTTACTTTCCCACAGAAGAAAGAACAAAGCTCAAAAGTGTTGTGTTAATTAGAATTGTCCAGATTCTCCCCTGAAGTTTTACTGCCACCTCCTGCTGCTGCCTCAAATAATCCCCACTGAAGGCTGCCCTAACAGATAGTAATGCTGGAGGAGGATTTGTCCCATGGGTCCTCCAATGTTTATTTCTATCCACACAGATCATTTAAATGCTGATAAAATAGAAAAGCAACTTTCTGGGCTGTCCCCAAATTATGTTCAGGTTATGTCAGTAAAGCTGAGAGTGAACAGCAGGTTAGCCAAAAATGTCCAGACCCAGCCAAAGAACTCAATTCCAACACTTAAAACCACTATATTCATGAGCAGAACACTAGTCCACACCAATGAATCCCTAAGTGCCAAAAGTTATTTCAACATAAGGGAATGTTTGCTAACACAGCAGACTGAGGAGTATCAAAATCTGTTTTGAAAACTACCCCAGCTGGAAGTTACCTAGAGGAAGTCTGTCAAAAGTAGTACACTTCTCCCTCACATAACACAGTGTTTAAAGTTAAAAAAGAATGAGACTCCTCCTATAGCCACCATTCAAACCAAAGTTTGAATATGTTGGAAAAGATTGTTATCATTGATATTATCTATTTTTATTCACCTTGAAGAGAGTTTGCATCTAGGTTAGGTTGTTCAGTCCTGTGTGAAATGGAAGATAAAGGTGTCTTGGGAATTTACATATGTCCAAATATTCATACTGCAAATTTCAATTGTGTGGAACTATTTTAACTGTGGTCTGTAATGGATTTTTAAAGGTTTCTAAAACTTTTTCATTTCTAATAAATTGTTTCATTTTTAAGTGTGCTTTATGTGAATTCTTTCCTCCTTAACTTGCTTTTTGATACACAAAATGACCAAGGAAAAAATACACTGAATTCTGTGTCTTCCTCAATAACATGAGGCAGAACAAAGGGTGAAAAAAATAAAAGAGAAGAAAAAATAATTGGAAAACAATTCCAAACAAGTAGAAGGGTTGAAAAATTCACTGCATAAAGACAAAATTATGTTTTTGCTCAACCAAAATCAATTTGTTCATCTCAAATAGCTGAACTAACATTTCTGGGATATGGAACAGAGATTCACATTTTAAAACATGTAGTTTAGCACCAAATCCTGTGCAGGTATTCCAGGCTAACATCAGTGTAACTGACAAAGCTCAGAAACAACACATACTTTATATTATCTTCTAGCTGACATATGAGCAATGAGACCTAGCTAGGCTAAATCAGCAGAATGTGATGAGAAATTTTAATCAACAACTTCAGCTGTTCTGACTTACTTATATGCAGGTGTAGAAATCTGTCTCATTTAACTGGCATCACATTTCATAGTGACCTTGTAGGGTGAGAGGGGGAAACCAGAACTTTTCCCTGCACTTCTTCCTGCAAATCTTCCCTGGGCTTCTATCAAAGTTTTAATCACACCGTAGAAGGACAGAACTCAGCAGTTAAAACTGCACATTTGCAAGTAGTTTAACATCTTCTGACAAAGTCCTAAGAATTGCCTAGATTAATCCTGATGGTGTCTTAAATTGTAGCTGAGGCAAGAGAAGGAATCTCACCAGTTGTGGTCCTACCTGATGAGAGACTCTAGAATAGCTGGGGTGGGACCCTTTTGAAATTCCAGCTCTTTGTAGTGAAGGGCCTTAGCATATGCTCGACATTTGGCAGCTCTTTCCCCCAGAAGGACAATGCCATTGTCATCTCTCAAAGGCAGTGGGCCCTGGGAAGGAGCACACACATCAAAAGCAGGATGAGTATTACAAAGCAGTCATGAACTCCACACAAAGCAGCCACCACGATAGCACTAGAAGGAGCTGCCCAACAGCATCTCTACCTTGTCACTGTGCTCCATGAATTCTGCCAAGTTCAGTAGAGTCTGAGTGACTTCTGCAATATCCTGAGAAGTCAAGGCCAACTCAATGCTCCGGATCAGCTCATCCTGCTGGTCTTCGTTCAGTTCAGACCAGCATGAAACAAAAGCAGCATTGAAGAGGTCTCTGGGGAGGAACACAAAACACAGTGTGAGGTGGGGATTCATGAGAAAAAGTCTGTTTGACAGTGGGCTCAACTTCTTACTCATCTTAAAAATACACTCACATTCCTACCTGCAATAAATAGTGATTAGTTTTTATAAAGGTAACTTCTGTGAAACATTTCATGTAAAAAATACAGAGTAGGCTGGTATACTACAATAATAGAAATATTGTACTAGCATATGCTATCAAAGCTTCTCCAAACATGCTGATTGCAAAAAAGCACTGCTGTTTATTCCACTAAGAGGCATTTTTGTTCCCCACAGTAAATACTCAAAACTATTTCATACTTTGCTGTTTTTCCAGCTTCACTTTATGCTTTATCTTATTTCTAGACTAATATGCTGAATTTCAATGAAAGATTTTGTGCACATCATGGAGCAGCCAACTAGGAAGGGTGGAAATGAAATCAAGCTGTTGGCTCTTTGATTTATGCCAAAGCATAAATCAAATTTAATAGAGAATTATCTCTATTTATGAAACCTAAGAGCTTCTAAATAACCTTATTTTTCCTTTTTAATATCTGGTTTCCATCTGCCATTTCAAATGAGATAAAAATCCAGAAATTCTGTACCGAGCCATGGGATTATAGGCCTGAGCCAGGGCCCAACATGAGCGCAGGGATGGTGAGGAAGAATCTTTCAGCAGCTCCAAACTCAGTCTCCTTAACCATTCCAACCAGTCATCTTTGGAAACTCTTCTTGCTGCTCCCCAGGCCTGCAGTACAAAGGAAGATAATTCACTTACCAAACAAAGCAATATCCAAGAGCAGAATAAATCCATCATCAGGCAGCATTACCTCTTTACAGCTCCAAACCACATGCTGAGAATCACTTTTCAATTTCCTGAAATCCATTACCTTTACCAGATAATCTGCAGTACTTAAGTCTCATGTCTAAGAAATTTTCCCTAAATGTATTCCTGCACTGACATGGCAAGTATTTAACATTAACAGTCCTTTCTCTACAAAAAATACATGTAGAGCTGATGTCACTGTTGAAACATCAGCTTAAAAATACTTAGTGCATTTAGAATTACGTTTTTAAGTCCAGCATTTTCAAACCAACCCATCCCATTCCTGAACTGTGTGCTGCATGCATGTACTGTTCAAACTACCCAATGCTTAGCTATTAAGTTCTGCCTTCAAGAAAATATAAAACTAAGATACAAGAGGAGCAAAAGCAAAAATATGAAAAAAAGCAGAGGTTCTGAAAAAGATGTCTCTGATAGCAAGAGATTATTCATTGTGATCTAGATAGTCTTGTCCATACTTAACAAGCAAGTGTAGAGATTACTTCACAGCCATTAACAGTCTCATAGTTCAAGGTCTCCTCATCTTTAAAGTTGCTCAGCACCATCTAATTTTAAAGAGTCTCAGTACACTACTTTGACCTCAGTTTTGTACAGAATAGAAAAGCAATATAAAAGCAATTAAAATAAATATAGTTCAGATGCACCAGACAAAACTCCTTCAGTGTGACACATTAGCTCCCTTCACTAGCAAATTCGCGGTGTGAAGGCTCCAGTCTTACCTTCTGCAGGTTGATGGTGCTCACATGTAATTTCTTCATGGGACCTGTTTCCACAGGGCCAGTGGCCAAAGTTTCCCCCTGGTTGCTTCTCAACATTCGGTGCTGATAAATCAGGGGATCTTCCTCTTCATCAGCAAGAGTGTAGCCCTACAATAATTGGTTTGCAGTGAAGATCACACATACAGAAACAATTCTCAACAAGCCAAAAAAATCAGAGCATTTGCAGCAAAATCTTACAGCAAAATCTGTGAAGCAAATAACCATGTTTCATTATAATGATTACACCTTTTAAACCAAATGATATCCCTTTGCTACCCAAGGTAACTGTCAAGAACTCTTACCTACTAGTATAAAAAGCCAAGATAATGTACATTAAAACAAGCACTCTTGCCTATTTGACTTGCTAGTTGCTTGTTCCACACAATTTGTAAACCAGTGACTAAATTTTTAAAATGTAAGATATCTCATAGAAAATACTGATAGAGCAAGGTCTCCTCAAGTCCTGGAACCATGGAAAAAATAGGACAAACCCACATTTAAGAACTACCAAGAAAAAGATCAGTAATGACAGTGGCTGAAAGTCTTAAGTTCTTCCCTAAAACTTGCCATGATTTTTCTATAGGAAATATTTAATATCAGTAGACAAAAAAATTGCCCAATGCAACCTCAAAGTCACCTTAAAAAGCTTCACTTAACACAGAAACAGAGCAACAACTACTCCTCATTCTATGAGTAAATCCAAGTGAAGGTTCCAGCTGCATCTGCTTCAACGTGACAACATCCCAAAAGTGCAAACTGCACACTTTTCAGCTTACCTTTACAATCCTGCAGATGAGAACATCATAGCGTTGATGGTTAATTCTGTGTCGCACCAGGACTTTGTTCAC